GGCGACGGATGTCCCCAAGGGATCAAGTCAGCTGAAATGCCAACGGATCACAGCGATCATATATCCTGTATCTAATCAGCAAGCCAGAATCAAACAGTCCAAGTCCCTACACCAGTTAGGTGCTGGCAATCACAACTTAAACTTACGCGCTGATTGTAATCCATGTTGTCCTCAGTCCCGTTTGGAGAGTGATTTTCCTACTCTGGATTTACAATCCAAAATCCGACCGGGACACCCATAAATAAATACTTCCTTAGTCCGCTGTACATATGGTTACCAAAGGGGCAAAATGTTTATGACTGAGAAATGCGATTTTTTTCACCTGAAGCCTCGAAAGATGACTCGGTAATTATTTTACTTTTATAGGCAAATTGACGCACCTTTAGGACGTTTAGTCAGATATCGGCAGAGGTGCTTTGAGTCGTACTACGAAAATTTATTCAGGTGTTGCAAACTGCGGAAATGATAAATATTGTTAGAAATTGCAAAGTTTTATTTTACATGGACGGCGGCAAATAATTCGTAGGATCACGAAAGTTTCGGTTCTACCACAATCTTGAAAGAAATATAAATCCATGAACCATCCTGACCCCTGACGAGCAGTCTTATATTGATAGTTACCGGAATTAGAAGATGCAAGAAAACCTAAATTCATAACTGAAAAGAATTTTTTACTTGAATGCATAATAAAGTTGTACTAAACGATGCTCGACATGCGCAACCAAAATTTCCAGATGGTGCACCGTGTTCCCTGTTTTTATTATAATACGACAGTGATCCAGATTCTAAATCTAACGAAGAGCAGCTAAACTAATCCGGGTATGCCCACTTGGCCATTAATGACGTTCCGTTGTCAACAATATGCCTATTCCTCATTATCCTCTGAGAAAATCAGATGCCTGTCTCCAATAGCCATCATCCCACAACATCCCGGTAACCTCATTGCAGCTTCCACCTTACGCTCCATGGTAAATCTTTTCGAGATACATATGCGGTGAACGTAAAAATATAAACCCATGCTGTTTGAAAAAAGAAGTGTAATAAGACTGTGGCTCTTTCCATGGTCAAAAGGTTGGAAAACACACTATAGTAAGGAACATGTTTCCTGCTTACCGCGTCATCTCGCGCTCAGTTGATTCCTGTTAAAGTGCCATGATGACAAGTTGACGATAGCGGATACACAGCGGGATACATTTCAGATGGCTGCTGTAACTCTGCTCGAAGGCCTTAAAACTTGTGTGTTCAAGGAACTATACCATGCAGATGACATGTTACTATCTCCTTCAGCTGTATGCCACTATGGGCCTGAAGATCCCTGAGACGGCATGAAACCAAAGTTTTGTAAGCAAACCACTGCCATCATGTGATAGTATCAGTTTCCCTTACCCGCCCATAGTTGTTGCTAAGAATGGATGTTGGAAAATGTTGCACGTTTTGGCATTGCAACACATGGATCTTAAGAAGTGTGAACACTGAAATCTGTGCCGGAAGTAGCTAACCGTAGTGCCCTTGAAGTTAAGCGCATAAAATCTGAAAATGGAGTTACGAACATATGAATATACGGCGCAAACGGACACACTGTTTCGAATTTCTACGCAATAGAAACAACATGTTTGTGTGTTACATATAAGTTAATCGTTTTTGTTCCTGGCTGCCGCTGAAACGCAAAGCGTGGGAATGTCATATGTATGGCAAACTCCTCCCCTGATTTTCACACAAAATCGCAAGAAAGTTCTGTCTTACACAGGTGCGAGTTGGCTATTGGAACGAAAATCCCTGCGATTGATTCCAACCAGAATAACTCGCTTTAAATGAACAAAATTTTTGGATGATAAAATGCTGACATGTGGTTCACTTGATTCGATTAAAGTATGCAAAACTTTTGAAAAATAAGAGGCTTAATTTTAGTCATGTGGGTTCGGCAGGAACCGGCATGACTGACGAATACTAGCAAGTTTAATGAAGTGAGAAGCAAAAGGCCATTTACATACCCTCGGATTGTCGGAAGTTACCTTGGGATGTAATAACTCCAGTTACTAATTGTAGAACAGAAGGCGTTCCAAGAAACGGATTCAAGAGAAAACAGCCAAATGAGGCTTGATAATTTTCATAGGTTGTGTGCTTTGACCTCATAAAATAGAGCACATTATTCGGTTAGTTAAGCTGGTGTGATCCAACCGATTTCACGGACGAAGATGCTGGTTGGTCGCGGTAACACATTCGAATGGTTAAATCGCAATGCATGATAAGAACGGTTACCACCGGGCAGTGTTTGCGAAGCTTTTCTGTCATCATTTATTTGAATGTGCATTCATTAGCCATGGGCGTTGTATATCAAACATTCAGGTTTATGTATTAAATCTATGGCAGTAGATAACCAGGCATTTTGTTTGCAATCAAATTTGGAGCACAATTTATATTTAACTTTCCTTGGGTTGAGTTGTATAACGTCAACAGTCTTTAACGGAAGATGACAATTTATTAAGGTCTTGAGGCAAATTTTGTATCACGCTTACTGACTAAGCGGCCTCAGATTGTAGAGAGCGAAAAGTCACATAATATCGCTCGCCCTTGCCGGAAGTTTCCGTTTTTGTAGGGACGAATAAGGTTTTCCAATAAAGCCGGATTGAACCGCAAATCTCAGAGTATCTTTTTCTCAGAGTATCTTTTCTCAGTATCTTTTCTCCGCATCTTTTCTCAGAGTATCTTTTCCATGGAGTGTTGGATGGTTCTTTTGCAATGGAATTTATTACTTGGGAAAATACCGAATACCCCAAATCTTTTTTTCACAAGTGGATTTTAAAGTCCGTTAGCCTCACAATGAAGAAGCCCGTTTGAGGTATTTAAGCCACCATTCAAAATATTTGTCGAAAAAGTCACTGCAGGATTCAGCGGAAATGCAACAAGCATTCATAATAATGATTAGTTATAACGATAGTAACAGTAAAAATAGTACTAATAATAACAATAATAATGCCACCAATTCACGTGCTGAGTTAGGAGGACAAATAAACCCCTGTTTTTCTATCGGCAGTTCAGTACTTAATGTGAATGTCGATTTCCATGAAGTAACCTCTCAACTATGACACCGGAATATGTGCCTAGTGCCATCTGATGCCATTTTTCTGCCTCAGCTGTATTCAATAGTTTCATTATAAAGTGGAGTTTGTTAGCAGATTTGTGATACTCACAAAACAAAATAAGTAACGCGACTAATGTGAGATTTTTGTGAATCATCACGCAGCGGATGGGTTTCTCAAATTCATCAAGAAGTTAACCTGGAGTGAGAATTCTGTGCGCAGCATTCCATGAACGTGAAAGTAATAAACAGAACTATATTATGTGTTCAAATCCATGTCGCCTTTTCTTTTCAGTAGTTTCCTCAAAGCACACAGGTTACCGCAAGCTAAGAGAAGAGGTACAACCAAAAAAGCCGAATTCAAGGCTGATAAGAAACATTCCCATAAGCGAGAAGGTTTGCTGGTCGGGTTACCCTCTCCTATATTCCACGGGTATCCTCTGCTGCATATTGTAGTCTGAAAAATGCTCTACCTTGCCAAGGCTTTGCCAGATGGCCTAGGCTAAGGAATCGTCACGGATATGACTAAGTTCGTTAATGGTGTGTTAATAAAGTGATAAGCCATCATTATTGCTCATCCACGAACGCTAGTATGGTCAAACCAAACTGGGTGGATTGCGGTCTGGTATCCAGCCAATTATATTTGGTATGTGTAGACGAATTTTGCGACAAAGTAGGAGCTTTATTGTTGAACACCTGATTGTGGAGGTGTGTATATCCTAGACACGTATATTGTGAAATCCTCTTTCCGTGCGTCTCGACAGTGCTCACCTAAATGAGAAGGGTCCCGTAGTAGGTGATTTATTTCCGGGGATGTCAGGGAACCAAACATGTCACATATGCACATGAATTAAAACTCCGCAAAAAACACAAACCTAAATTTCACGATCAAATGCACAATTTGTGATGTACTTATGTAGCGTGAGACTTTTGGACAAGTAGCTAAGAACTGTTACTACCCTTGATCTAAAAACTGTGTGCAGTACTCTAATAGGCGGAAACCATTCAAGTTATTAAAGACTGACCAGTCAAGACTAATACATCCATAAGTCCAGCTACGTTCGCAGGTATTGGCAGTTGGGAACATAACCTGAGATATGCGGCGTATTCCGGTGGCCTATAGTTAGATATACTCTTTTGTATTCCAAGCATGTGTTGGTATGTCACAGATGGCCCACATGCAACTATCCTTATAAATTTCAAGACCAGCGTAAATTGAATAAAAGGCATTACTTTGTGTTTGATGAAAATTTCAAGTGTTATCCAGGTGAGTAGGCGACGAACGGGGGCCAAAGCCGCGCTTAGTAACAACTACCAAATTACTGTAGTGACTACTTTTCCGTTTTGTAAGACATCCAAGATCAAATGTCCTATTTTGGGAAAATTGTAAAGTACGACGAGTTCGATGTGAGTGACCAGAAACGAAGGACGAATACGTACGGAAAATGAAACCCACTGGTTGAGCCTCTAATGTTCACATATTCGGCGGATATTTCACTCATCCTGAAGTTAATCGATGGTTTAACCGGTATCTTACTGAGATGTATTCTTAGTATCACTTTTGGCCGCTTGTCAGCGACATTGACCAATAGAGCAGCTAACTTACAAGTTCATTGGCTTTACTGGCTTGGCCAAGCGTACCACGCGATGAAGTGACTATCCAGATCGGCGTTCACGGTAACAAGAAGGCACTAAGTGACTGTGGTCCATATCACTTACATTACCAGGTGACTTGGCATCGAATTTACAAAATTCTGCGGACACCAGCGTCCTGTTTGATTCACCCCCGTGAACGCAGTTTCTGAAACAGTATTCCTATCAAAATATTCTCTTTTTGGCAAAACATTTGGCCGTATTATCGTGCTCGTGTGCTGCGAATCGTTGGAGAAACGAATGGTGTTCGGCATTTCCATTTTTGCAGCTATGAATGTCAACACAGGCCGGATCGAAAAGGAGTGGCTGACTTTCAAAGGAAAGTCTGATGCGCCAAAAAACTCCACTTTCACATTCTATGTAACTCCGTATCTTAAGAAACCGGTGATCACTGGACAGGTAGATGAAGTAGTCGGTCGGTTGGCAGGATATTCAGAACGAATTGTGAAAACGGGTGGGGCTACATTAGTGGGTTGTTGGGTGAAATACGGGAGTTTTATGTAGTCGCTTAGCCTTCAAAACAGGCTCAGATGGGCTGATTTTATGACAGTCACATTATCAAGCAACTGAGGCAATTTGGTGTTGAATATCTGGCTCCCCTTACGGGCACTCATTCTGGTCAGTTGAGCTCAAAATTTAAACTCCGTTTGGACTCGCTGTGGGCTTGACACATATTTGTCTACGTAGGTTTTACGCCCTTTGTAAAGGCAACGAATAATAAAGTACTCACTCACGCTGTTGCTGCCGTATTATCTAAGTTACCGAACGGGTCCTCCGATTACTCGAAGGTCAGTCAACGACGAACATTTTTATGATTGTTTAAGGAACTTGATCTGATACCGACTAAAGAAAGTGGGCAAATTTAAAGATCGAGCAATTATTTTTCTGCGTGTAGAAACACGATTAGCTTTCAAATATTGTTGATAATTTTGATGACATTCAGAAATAATGAATTTTCTCTGCAATCAATTACTAAGGTGTGGTTCTCAAGTGTATACAGTCTGTATTGTCATTCTCCAAAAAAAGCCGCATGGCATGTATGGTCACATGAAATATGTTGTTGATCAAACACAACCAATTATGAGGTCTTTCAATTGTGAAATATCAAGTATTCAGAGGCAAAATCAATGAAAATATCCTGGTAAGATGGTTGAAACGCTTTTCTGTCTAAAATGTATCATTCTTAGGTGAATCTAGTCAATACAGGAAGCACCCGAAATAGATGGCTTGTCTGTTAAGTGTGCCAATTAAATGTTTAATTGGGACATGCTATTGCTTGAAGTTCACATGCCAGGTAAATATGACGTTTCGTTTGTAATACATAACCATCAGTGTGCTACCGGTAATAGCTCTTAGCTTACTGCCATATATTTTGTTAGGATATGCTTATAAGTGTCACTCTGAAAGCATCCCATTCATTAAGGACGCGTTTTCTTCATGATTAAATGTTAATTGGGACATGCTATTGCTTGAAGTTCACATGCCAGGTAAATATGACGTTTCGTTTGTAATACATAACCATCAGTGTGCTACCGGTAATAGCTCTTAGCTTACTGCCATATATTTTGTTAGGATATGCTTATAAGTGTCACTCTGAAAGCATCCCATTCATTAAGGACGCGTTTTCTTCATGTACCAGCCAGCCGTTGAAGATTTCTGCATTATTAGAACTGTCTAAATACAATCAGTAGTGTATATTTTCGGTGGTCATTAGTGTACCGTACAAGTGCCAGGAGATATGATTTCATGTATGGAGTTTCAGATCAATGCATGATGACATGTGGAAAAACAGCGCAAAGGGGTACGGATGGTGATCAGGCAACTGAAAATTTGAGAGCGCTCGGGATGTAACACTGAAGTGGGTCGATTTTTCATATACTTCGGTTTCTGAGCACGCGCCGCTTGAGAAACCAGCAAGACGTCTTCTGATTTGTCAGGTCTGGAGTAAAACAAATGAGCCATCGTCGGGTAGAAGTTTGAAGCATTGTAAAGGAAAATGAGCTGAGATACTCTCACCCCATTATTGAAAAAAAATCGCACTGGTGCGTCTTCATCCATGTTTATGAATGACATCCCTCCTGGGTGGCCTTGCGTGGTTTTACGCACTTGCCACTTTCTCTTGCAGCAGACAATGTCCCCAAAGCACAAGCCAAACGAACACTGGGCGATAAATAATTGCACTTAAATTATCCTCCTTCTATGCAAATGAGTTCAGACATAGAAGAACTGGGGAAATTCAGTCGTAGCATCAAAATTTTACTTGGCTGAGTGAGTTGCCCGATTCCTAGCGTCATTTGGTTGGATGTACCTCACAACGCAAAGGTGTGTTCATTCATTTGAATTAGCGCGCATTTCCTCCATTCGCATCCGCTACATTTCCCCTAAAAAGACAGGTGATTCTGCTGCAGTTTTCCGACTCCTAATCTGCGGCCATTTCGCTTACAACAGGTTTTATTCAGTCACTGTGCACTCCACGACGGAGAGTCGAACGTTCAACTTCATATCGTCTCAAATATAGGCCATTCTTTTACCACTAATTAACGTAAAGTTTCTTCTTGGTTGAAGCTAGTAGAATATTCGACAACTCACCGCAGGTTGCTAACACTCAGCAGACAAACCATGGAAAAATATGCTTCATCCAGTGAGTGGATTCTTCCTTCCTGGGATGCTCATTACGAAATCCACACTGGTGCCCAATGGCGTTTATTTGTCGCATTTCGTGCAGCTTTCGTTCAACCGAAATACAAGGTCTACAAAAGTCAATGACCGCACCTGCCCAGAGCCGAAACCGGCCCTGGTCTCTCCAAGACCTTTTGGTGACCTTCTCCTACGCCCCAAATCCACCACAAGTAATCAAGGAACTTGAAGCTATTGAAGAATCTAACCCTTCAAATGACACTATGATGCACTGGATATTCATTGAGTAATGCCAGTCAATTGTGCCTAAACATATGTTTTGTTCCCAACGAATGGTTTACAGTGACCTGGCGCCGGATATTGCAGCCCATGGGTGCAAAGTCACAACATTCTTCACATTTGAGTGTTCACACGAGCACTACGCCATCATGAGCAGAAACGTCCTTCAAACTAAAAATGAATGCCAGCCTAGCAAGCCTGAATTCCACTGATCAATTATTAGCAATCTGTACGACTGACAATCCGTATTTAATGAAAAAAGATTACGGCCTTGTCAGTTTACAGATTGTTGGTGTTCATGAGGAAACCGGCTGTCGTGACGAAAAATGCCAGGTTGATGATGCAGCGCTGCAGATTGCAGGAAAATCAAATTGGGATCTGACTCAGTTGCTCAGGTTTCTACGTGTGTTGAGCAAACCGGCTGATTATAATACAATACGGGAGTCCATACGGGAAGGTCATCGGCCTCAACTTCGACACCTGAAGGTTTAGAGATTAAAAGAGAATCTTTGTGGATATTCTATCAAAACGCGTGCCGTACTAGCCGATCATGTTGAGCCTTGGGCATATTACGTCCACTAGCATAATTCTGAACATTTTTAATCGATTATTCGAAAAATTAATGTGCATGGTTTCAATCGTTTCTGGTTGGTGTATCTGGAGACCCGTTAGTGCAATTTTAAAGGAGAAACACCCGAATCCGTTCATGTCAAAGGAAAGTAATATTTCAAACCGATTTGTAGTTAGACGATATTCCATACTTGAGATGTTTGTTGACCCGATTTGGGCGAAAAAATTTGGATAAAACCGGCAAACAATAGCAAGTTGCGTTTGGAATTATCACATTTGGTGTGCTAAGTTGATTAATACGGCGCTCCACAACCATTTTCCAGGAAGCAATACACAAATGCATCCGGCTAACGGGTGCGAAAAACATGCCCCCCAGAAACGCAGAACATTGTTACACTACGTGATCGGAATGCAATACTTGCGCGGTTTATACCTTCTAGTTAGTTGAAAATTTGTGATCAAAATGGGTAAACCAAACAGTTAATCTGGCATTTTATCCCAAAAAATATCCGTAGGGATTAACAATGCTTAGAAGTAGATTGATCCTGTCATCACTGGAGGGGTTGATATGGTGACGTATTACGTGCTTTTCCACATGAAACCACCTTATGAACGCAACTTGAACCACATTTGTGGGTTTTGCAAGCAAACCAACAAGTGTGCGTACACTATTTGTGCACTAAATCTTCGGAAATGACGGATGAAGCTTACCTGCGACTACATCCCTCAATTTATTACTCCTACGGTATTGATGTCTGAGAAACTCCGAAAAAATCTGTAATTTTCTTTTTGAAAATTAAACCACACCTAACATCAAAGGTAGGCAAAATTCTACCTCACAGAAAAACTCGAAACCCCAGTAAGTCACTTGATTAACATTATTGTGCTTCAGACGGAATTATTATACTTAACTTTCGGGGATCCACACATTTTCTCCGGTAACGTTCTTTGCAGCTGTCACAGGAGAATGTAGCCAATGTGAAATGCTGGGTTTTATTGTGTCAAATGTTGTAGAAATGTGCGTTAAAATATTTCGAAGGGTATAGTAATATCTAAGATCACGCGATTGAACTTTGAACTTCAAACTAAGGTTTCAAATGATGGAAGTTCCAATCTTTGGCATTATTAGACACAGTCATGAACACATATGCAACCAGTTGCTTGCTGCCCACTACGTACTCGACTGGTTGTTCCAACCGAAGAAACCGGACAAGGATTATCACGTGACGCGAAATCTCCAGTTTGAGAAATATGACCAAAAAACATTGTAGATTTTACTCAACATGCGTGGAAGTATATCCATATTTTACCTTATTCTTTAGACGTGTAAACTTCTGTTTATTTGCAAATCAGTTTTCTGCAAATAAGTACCCTGCAATTAATAATTTGTGAACTTTATAGATTTGTTTGCAACTAATATCACAGAGCCATGGGCAATCTAAGGTAAAAAATTCAAATAGAGTCTCTACTCAGCTGCGCGTTAGACGAATTCGCGAGTAATTGCGAGCAATCGTTAAAGTGAAATTATAGTCATGCGAAATGATATCAAATGATGCCACAAATATGCAGTTTATCCGAACATTTTGCCAAGTTAAACAACGATGATAGCAGTTCTGTCCTGACTAGGACAGTGGTGCTTTTAGAGATAATACCAATGAGGAAAATGTGTTTGTGATTTATGGAGTCATCTACAAACACGGTGCCGTTTTGTCTTATAACATAACTGAGGAAACGGTCTCTATCAACAAATTATTAGCAGTGTAACGCCGGATGCTGCTAATGAGTCTTGCGGCCCCGTTCTGCGACAGCATGCAGCAGGCGTCGCATGTGGCCTTGTTGGGACCCGACGAATTCTCGCGTCAGAAATTGCGTCAAAGTACGGAAGCCTGCGCTTCTTGAGCAGATGCGGTTGAAAAAAGCAGCTGGCCGCTTGGTTGTGGAGGACTTGCTGAATTGCGTACGATAAGCTGTGCCACTGGCCATGTGACAGTAGCGGGAGAAGACCGATGATTAACCAGTGGGAGATGCGCGGGACAAAACGGACCAACTAGCCATACAGCTTGGAGCCACGAGGACGAATCCCCAAGAAAGTTTTGAACAAGCTGGTTTCACAACATTCGGTTGGCTGTTCAAAGAGAATCAATGACGTCTAACCGCGACACCTCTTTTTCCGAGTGGGTTGCGACTTGTGCAGTGACCAATGCTACGATATATGCCGTTATCGGGGTAAGGACAATCGGATAAGGGATATCGCTGAGGCATATAGGAAACCAGGCTGAGTGCAAACTGCGCTGTTAACCACGGCAGCAGTGGAGGAATATCGACTTAAAATTCCACCGCTTGCGCGTAGGAGAATGGTCGGTGCATCACGCGTTCCCAATCAGCCCTGACATGGACCATGGCCAAATTGCGGGCAGATACGAATGCACAGGTGGACGCGCTTAGCGTACTCAGGACTCAAATGGGCGGCCAGTAGGGACTGCAGTCATTACGCTCGATTTACGATGGGGCTTTTTTTACTCAGCCGTCGGCGAAGTCCTCAGTCGGCGCTTGTCTGATCTGTTTGCTTGAGTTTAAGTGAAAGAGTATGGCTCAGACAACGAAAAGGGGTCATCCATTGTGCCCATTTTCAAACGGACGGCTTGTGAAATTCTGTGGAAACCACAAGATGACGCGCACTGTCTCAGGTCGAAATGAGAATGTTGGCCAGGTGGTTTCTTCGCCGCCTCACCGTGGCTCCTAAAGCACTGAATCGAGTGCAACAACAGAATTCCTGCATGGTGTGTGTTGCATCAACCAACTCTTCATACACCCTCAGGTGCTAGAACGTCACACGAACGAACGGGCCACAACCGTGGCACTCTTGGATTTCTAAGGCGCATTAGTTTGGGTTGACCGGACTGTTATCCCAAATCGCGTTAATGGATAGCCCAGAATTTGGTGAAAATGTTAAGACTTGAGGTGTCATAGTAGTCAGATTGCTCCCCAAATGTATGAGTACACAAAATGATGACGTGTTTCCTCTCTCCATTACCATTTAATTTTGTGGTCAGTGAGAAAATGGAACGAACTGTTAAAGGTCTTCAAAACCAAGGCGTTCAACTAGCCTCAAATAGCTCAAATAGCCTTGTCGATCTGAAATATGCCGACACTTCCTTTCTCGACTTCGAGGTAGAGGAGAAGGGACAAATTTCTTCGGAAAAACTGATTTGCTTGCCTCCGATATATAGACGATGAAAAATCTGCATTTCTATCCATTATCCAATGATGTCTTATAGTATGTTTGGAAATGCTGAAGAACGAGCTCAGTAGGTCATCAGTTTCCCCATCCGAATTTGCCCCTAATGTTTTCCTAAATTGGTCATTGAGCCGAGCAATATTATTGTCGTTTGATTTGCAACTTGGTTCAAAATTTGTTTGTATACTGAAATATGGATTAGCAAAGTCATTCGGGTCCATGCTGAGGTATGTTTTGGGAAGATACTTGTGATCTTCATGGCTATTCCCTTTAGTATGGTTAGTTTCAGAATGACTGGATGCTTTCGGGCTTAACTGATGCAAGGCAAATAAACAGGCCCCTACGCTGACGGAAGTTTTATGCATAAAAATTACTTTCCCTAAAACATTTGTGCCGCCATCAGTCCGAACAAGAATTTTTTTAGTATCTTATTTTATTGTCCAACTTGCAACAAGAAACAAACCTAAATATGTTATTATACTGCATCCTGCTTCACGGTTACTGTTACGGTGACTGAGATAATATAGAACCCTCAACGTCGCACCATAGTGCAGTGAAAAATAATATTGCAATCCAGTCTCTTGTTTATCTTGTGCAAGGCTTTTTAGGGTTCAACCTTCCTCGCCTACTACGCTGTGTTTTGACTTTAATAAATCTATACCATACGGTCTCAGATGGCCGTCGATGTTCCATTCGTCGTGGTTTATCATGTACAACAAGATCGTTATCCGCTTAAAACCAACCAAGATGGAAATATTTCATTGAGTGAATCGACTCTTTACCAGCACATGTGCTGCAGTTTTGAGCTAAAAGCGCTCAACTACGAACGACATAAATGTAACCCATCTTTTGGTCCAGTTTGCGATTGCACCAAATTGCTGAATTTCGCAAAGTGCACTAAAAGAATTCGTTGATGTTTGTAAAAGAACTGTGGAGATCTAAAGTCTCTATGATTACTCGCTTCCATATGTTGCGAGCGTAGTTTCCGAGCTGAATATGTATTATATTATTCTTTCTTTTACAACTGCTTTTCCTTGCACTGAAAAGTGTTAAACTTATACGCTAAAATGCTTGTATGGACGGCATGCAAATTAGATTGGTTGTAGTAGTGAATGGAATAGGACCTTTTCTTAGGAGTTATTTATTGGAAAATGCCAACTAAACAGTTTTAGACTATTGGATGATAAGGCGAAAGCGTCATGTGCATGATTTTGCACCTAGCAGCAGCATCAGCGACTGTGCGCGAAGAGGTGCACTAGAACCAAAGATCGCACATACTCCATTAACTGCCAAGCCGTCGCCTTTAGTGCCACAAATGAAGGTTGATGATATACAACGAAAACAAGAAAAATGTGACATCCAGGAAGGGACAGCAAGACACAAATAGACAGTTAGAAAATTGCGTTATAATTGATAATGTCTCCACACGATGACGGTGACAGTGTCGCCAAACCCAAGGATGTCCTCCGTGACGGTGTTCACCGTAGTAACATAGTAGTCGGCAAAAACGTACATGCAATTGTGTGCCGTATTGTAAGGATTTCGAGTGTACTCAGGGTACAGGCAATCTTGCGCCGGACAAACCATTAAACCGT